AAATTGAGATCCGTACCCTAATAATGTTTGAGTCCAATCTTGGAACCGGACCCAGTCCAAAATATTACCTAAATTTTCCGTTATTAATATATAGATTTTATATCCGTTAGTACAACATTTTGTCAGTACTTCGAAAATATGCCCTCACTGAAGATATGTCCTTTAATAGAGCATAATAGAGAACCAAGATTTATGCATCCGAACCCAATTAATTGGGAAAAAGCTGAAATGATGATGATGATGATAAGTACAACATTTTGTCAATACTTTTAAAAGACAACCAAATTGCCCTTTTCATATTGTCAATATCAAAAATTTATTTTTGCATGAACTAAGTATGATTGAATTTTTTGGATTTAAAAAATCTAGAAGTTAAAATTTTTTGGATTTAAAAAATCTAATTTTTTTAATTTTTGGACTTTAAAAATCTAAAAAAGATTAATTTACATATTTTTAAAATCCAAAAATAAAAAATAAGACAAATTACGATCCGAAAATAGGAAAATTTCAGACTTTGAAGGTCCAAAAATGGTTCAAATCAAGCCGATCTATAGACTATGAAATTTTAAAAAATGAACCGTTTAGATATTATGTTGGAAGATGTATTATTTTTAGGACGTGAAATCTCTTTTTTCTCCATATCTATACATCTCGATGTTGAGATGATCAATTAGATTCAACAATAAAACAACTTTTTCCCAAAAATTTTAGAGGTGTACTTTAATTCGATATTTTAAGGACCTAAAATTAATTTTAGTACCTCAAATTTAGAGAGAGAGAGAGAGACGGCATAGACTAACTCCATCGGGTAAAACCCCAACTAGAATTAATTTTAGGACCTCAAATTTTTGTCAACCCATAGAAAATCCTAATTGTACCATCTACGTACTTGAAAAAAAAAATCAATTTAATAAAGACAATCCAATTGTTAGATTGTGAGATCTAAGTATTCAAAAGTTAAATTTCAATTTTTTTTGGGAATACTCATCTAATAATTATTAAGTGATTCCTAAAATTTCAAATTGAAAAAAATCCTCCAAACTGGGTCTTCTTGCCGAGTACAAGTTAACTATGCTCCCAATATATGCTAAATGTTTTTTCCGGTTCTCCTTTTGTAACTAAGGATATTTTCCGTTCTTACAAGGAGATCACAATCATTCTTATATATTGGATGTTAAATTAGATGACCTAAAATATGTTACAAAGTTTGAAATTTTTTTTGAATTTTAAGTCTAGTCAATGACATGTTTACAGTCGTTCAATTCAATATCTAACAATAAAAGTGATTATGAACTTCTTATTATTATCATCATCATACCTTTTTTTTCAACCATTTGAGACCGACTACATGAATCTTAGTCCACCATCTTGCTCTATCCATGACCTCCTTGTATTAAAAATAAATATCCTTTATAAGGTGCAATTTGCATATGGAGGCATCCATAGGTATCGAGGCAATGTGCACCTTCA